TTTCCTTAGGAAATAATATCTGTGGGAGTGGGGGGTGGAATGTATAGATGTGGCGCACGTACTGCGCCTTAAGACGCTCCTGCAAGCAAATACGCTTTTCAGTGTTGGGAAAAAAGAAGTCATACTAAAGAAATATGGAAACGCTGCTCCTGTAGAAGACTGAGGGAGGGAAGGAGGGAAGAGAGGGAGGGAAGGAGGGAAGAGAGGGAGGGAAGGAGGGAAGAGAGGGAGGGAAGAGAGGGAGGGAAGGAGGGAAGAGAGGGAGGGAAGGAGGGAAGAGAGGGAGGGAAGAGAGGGAGGGAGGCACCTTCAGATAACTGCAGGATGCGATCTGTGACCCTGCTTTTTGATGTAGTCCAACCATAGCGAAGGACACTGGACAGCTTTTCTCATTGCAGCCTGTTGGCGGGTTAACATACAGGAGACCCACAGGTGTTTGTCTCCTCTTCCTTTTGGATGCCTCTCGGATTCCCCCCGTGCATTCACGATGCAGGCTTTCTGGGATAATCCTGCTGTGCGTGGTGCTTATAGAGTGCACAAATGTAAAACTGCAGGCTAAAAACGTCTTTTTTTTTTTTTTTTTTTTTTTTTTTTTAAATAGGACAGGAGGAGAAAAAGGAACACAAAGTGAAGAGAAAATAAAAAAAAGGAAAAGCAAGTTGCTGGTGAAGGGCCTAAGAGCACCTCGGCGAGCCGGGCGATGGGCTGCTATTTCTAATTACCCCCTTTAATCAGCAACAATGCGCTGTGTTACATCCCGGGAAGACCCAAGCTACGAAGATTCTCTGTTATGCCCAGAGTGAGATCAAGACACAAACGAAGTCAAATGCTGCCAATCAAGGAAATGTATTGAGGACTTATACAAAGAAAATATTCACGTGTTGCAGTAAGACAATAGCAATAGGAAAGAGAGGGAAAGACAGGAAGGAAATTTAGCAAGCAGTCGGGATAGCATTGCAACAGACAGCTGCCACCACCGTGGATCCAGCGGTGTGCTGTTGGTCCGTAGTCTTCGTGCACATGGGTGGTGGGGGTCTCCGGATCACTGTCTGTTATTCRATTGCCTAGTCTTTTATAGGGTATCCAAGAAAGTCACTTCCCGGATGACAGCATTCCCGCCGCCGTGGCTCGAGGTGGTACACATCCATTGACGCAGCGCGGCTGTTCCTCGACCCCATCTGAAAACTCTTTTGGGTCCTTACCTGTTGACAGCTGTTTAGATGGTTTCTTGCAGCAAATTCAGCAGAAAGGCAAATGAGCTTTGAGGGAGTCAGCTTAAGATAGTCCCTCACACCATRATAGCGGAAAGGATTAGGGAGGGTGTCCGGCAGGTGGGGGACCCTATGTCAAGTTGAAAGAAACAACTGTCCCATCTACAGATCACAACAGTTTCATTGTGCGCCCAAAAAAGCCTCACAGTAGTGGTCCGGAAACCTGACCCCTCTTTCATTTCCTTTAGCGGGGTAGCTCATGGGAGAGGGATGTCTCTCGTGGAAGCGCCTGGGACGTCGTGATCCCGTATTTCCTTCGGGTCGCAGTCGCCTGTGCCCATACACTTGCCCAGTGGGGATGCTTCTGCACCCCAAAGGTGAGGGCTCGGGAAGAGAGACGGGTGACTCGAGCGCTGAAGCAAGCTACCGATGGCACGCGTGCCATGTAGCACAGTTTCTAGATGTCCTGCACCAATGTGCAGGCAGGGCGTTCCACGATTATAGACCGGTTCTAGGAGCGCTGTGCTATTGTCTGGATGTGGCCCTACGTTCCTGGAGCCAAGAGGGCTACAGACACTAAGGCTCTGTAACACAGCTGGRTTACTGCCAGCGGCACATCATTGTCCAGGCAGCATGTCCCAGCTTCACATTCTTCTGTCTAGGACCTAACATTGCTCTTGTTTTTTATCACAGATTCACAGAATGGTAAGGTTGGAAGGGACCTCCAGAGACCATCCAGTCCAATGCCTCTGCTTAAGCAGCAACACCTAGAGCATGTGATACAGGGTCATGTCCAGTTCYCGGAGCTATGTACGCGCCCGGAGCACGTCTGGCACGGTACTAGCGCAGGAGGTGGCCYTTATCTTTTGCCTGACTTGCCAGCATCTTGCCGGCGGATGGCGGCTTGTCCCATGCAGCTCACCGAAAGCGGGAGGCTGTCTTTAGTGACCGGACGTGTTCGCGGCCATCCTAGTGGCCTCATTGGCCGCCTCTCGGTTGCCCTCGTGCCACCGCT